CTTTCCCTTAAGGTAAAAGAAATAGAGATGGCCTGTATGCTGCACCCTCATCTCATCTGCAGATCTCTCTGCAATCACAGAAGTGGAATCCATGTTTTGTTCCCTTTGCTGTCAGCATTTTTGGCTTTTCCTTGCTCCAGACCAGAATTCCAGTAAATTTTATGCAGTAAAAGATGGGGATTTTACGTGTACTTTAGAACAAGTGACTAAGTCTGCAGAAGGTGTACATGAAGAAATAGCAACTTCTTGGGGTATTGCAGACCTGATTTTGAGTGTGCAAAAACCCTTGGGCTTGTACATTCTTGCACAGGAATCGTTCACCTATCTATAAAGTACAGAATTGTTCCCTTTTCATGAAAATCTGTCTCCTTAAAACTGTAGAGGAAGATTTTGGGAGGAAAAAACTTGGTTACTGACTGCAGGATTTTAGCAGAACATAAATGAGTATCAGTGCCCACAGCAAAGTGCAGCCTCTTTTTTTTTTTTTTTTTTCAAACTCTTTCTGAGAAAATAAACTGCCAAGGTTGGCATCCTTGGACAACCAGCATCCTCCATGGCTTGGTGCAGAGAGGATGACCTCAGTGCTCACTCCAAGGTAAGAGAGCCACCTGCTGCACCCACAGACTACTTCCCACAGAAGAGCAAGCTAGCAGGTATTTTCCTTTGGCAGTTCAAATCCATCCACACCCAACCTTGTAATTTATGAGGTTTAACAAGATCAGAGCCTGAGGTGGAATGATTGCAGGACTGCACAGTAAGCTGTTTCAGTTTACTCACATATGCAGGCTTAAAGAGGTATGAGAGCCAAGCATGTGAAATCATGGTTAACTGATGGTGCCTCCATTTAAATCACTTTGTTTGCATTTCTGTTTCCTGCCTCATTCACTAGGTTAGATGGAACATTCAGGAGAGTCTGGTAGGTTGGTTTAGCCTGTTTTTAATGCCTCTGCTAGACACAAGAAAGATGGTTTTACCTTGACTGCAGTTGAGCTTGCAACTACTCACTTCCCTGGGTTTGTTCCTGTTTGGCAATCATCCCCCAGTCTTTTGAGCTACCTGATCCATCTTGACCTTTCACAAGTTAGACTGGATGTAAGTGCCTACAGAATGCTTAGGCAATGATTTACAACCAAAAGGGAGGACTGTTTCCTGGATCATTGTTTTATATTTGGGTCCTCTCCCCTCATCATCTCTCGTCAGGCTGGAATGTGACTTTCCTGCAAGCAAATACTTGTGAAGGCACCTCTGTGCAGACCTCAGGCTGCTCAGCGTGCAGACAAGCTTACTAAACACAATCTGTTCTTGTGAAAGCTGGGTGGGACGCAAGACTTTGTTGGTCAAACTGAGCAGCTGAGAAATCTGCAGGGATTTCTGTCACTGGGGGCTGAGCCATAGCGAAGAGGATCTATTAGAGAGAATACAGTAACAAAAAGAATAATCATATGATCATAGAGCAGAGGGGGGTGAAGGGTGGAGGGGAGGAGGGTACAAGATAAATAATGAGCTTGACAATAGGCAAATAGTGTGTGTCATTACGGGAGCTACAGAACCAACCAAATGGTTAACCTGTGAGGTGGAAAGAGCATCCAATGACTCTCGCATGCCTGAAAGGATAATGGCATTTTTATTATCTCATTCCACGTCCTGATGATCCGTCCATTTGCTCCCTGGAACTGGCAGCAGTTTGCACTGATTCATACGCTGCAGACATGATTAGCAGATCATATTGCAGGCAGAACTTGTCAAGCCTTTCCAAGTGAGTTGCTGATTTCTTATGATATCTGTATGAATTTAGCCTTTTGGTGTTGTATGGGAGATGCTAGATGGTGGCAATGGGAAAGGGGAAATAGAATGGTGTAACTAGTTGAGAAGCTGGTTAAACTGGGGAATGAGTGCTGGATGCAGACTGAGCTCTTTTGCTCCTTTTTTTTTCTGTATCATACTCTGTTGTCTAAAGAAGTCTTTGCATTTATTATGCACTTCTCCTACCTGAATTGCATAATTTTAATTGCTTTGTTCAGTGGAAGAAGAATATGTTGGAAGGACCAGTTGCTAATCAGAGTTTTGTTAATGGGAAGTTTTCAGAAGTTTCATAGTTAGTGTGAAAGTTTCGCATAACTCAGATTGCTTAAGTCACTGAGTAAATGAAGTCTTCATGGCACACTCACCCCTGAATGAGGGAGGGAAGCAAGAGAAGAAAATCAATTAGCCTGTGTGATATTGACAAATAATTTATTTGCTTTATTTGAGTCCTGTTTTTTTGTTTTGTCTATTTTGTATGTTGAGGAGTGGGAAACAGGACACTACTGTGTTTCTACGATACTGTGATTTATATCAGGGTTTTGTTTAAAATTTGGGAGAGGTTTTGCAAAGCAACAGGGATTTATGGGTGCTTTTTTTTAGAATTTCCAGCATGAAATACTGTGCTCCTGGGGGGAGAGGGAGCTCAGGGATTTCTGGATCTCAGCCCCTCCATAAAGATCCTACCAGGAATCTGAAATCCTTCATAGTGATTTCAGAAATTGGGCAATAATTAATAATTTAACTAGAAGTGTTTTGAATGTGGTTTTTTTTTTTGTTGGTTCGTGGTGGAATACAGCCACAAGTCACGGCAGCCAGCTCTCCCATACTGCTGAAGGGGAATGGGGAGCAGCCATGGCACAGCACCAGTTTCTCTGCAACTGGTGCAAGAGGAAGGGGAGACGTGGGTGAGATTTGGGAACTTTATTGCTCATGTAACCAGCGGAAACCTTGACTCTTGATATGAGCTGATCCTGAGTGCTGTAGCCCAGGCTGAAGCCTGTGAGGTGACCTTTGGACCCTTTCACTAGTCTGCGTTGGGGCTGGTTTAGCTAGAAGTCAGGGTCTGCCTGTTTTGCTTAAAAAAACCTAGAAGCTGTTGGATATCCTTGCTGAGAGAGATTCTTCTCCACTTCCCTTTGGGCGAGAGAGGGAACCAGCAGCGCGCTAACTTTATGCCTGGTGTATCTCCAAAGCATTGGGTGAGTGCTGGGAGGAATGCCCTAGCTTCTGTATGCTGTAGCACCCACAACTACATTATGTGAAGTGAATTGTCTGAAGTCAGTGGAATTATATCTGAGTGTACACTGTTCAATCCCTTTCTCTTGAAGCATGATTAGCTACTATGTTGCTGGCTTCCAGTACCTTGAGAGTTTTGTATCCTGTAGCAGCTTCTAAATAAGAGCCGACACATTTTGACAACCAGACATGGGTTTTCGTTTGTCAAGGCTCACAGTAGCATACTTGGGGAAGAAAAGCAGCGTCTGACTTTAGTGAAGACTCTTAAAAGAAGTCAAGTGTGTGGCCAAAATTTGGCACCCGATTTATTCCCTTTTAACAAACATCTCTGTGACCTCAGGCCAAAAGTGGGGAAGACACCTTTAGCATTACCCACAAAGGCTTCTTCAAAGCATTGCTCAGTGAAGTATATGATGAAATACTGCCCTTCCCAGGCTGAGGCATAACGTAATCATTCCAAGTGCTCATGTCCTCTCAGGAGATTGCAATGGAAAAGAAAAGGAGTATTAAAATCCTTGTAAGTTAACTCTCTGGAGACCCTCCAGGGAAAAGGAGGCTGCTGTTACTGCACTGTTTTGAGTGAGGTACAATGTGATTTTTAACTTCTTGCAAATGTCCTCTAGTGGCTCCTTTATATGATAATTTCAGCTGCATCATTTAAGGATAATCTCTACGGTCTCAGTGTACTTGCAGTATTTGTAGAAAATTTTATAATTGCTAAATAGCCGAATATAATCCTGTTAGCATTTGATACACTGGAAATTAAAAGCAGAAGCTCTCGTCGTAGCCAAGAAATCATTCTGGTTGGCCTGAAAATATAATGACTGCTTAGTAAATGTATAGGGACTGAATTGGCTCACTTTGCTGGATGCTAAAATAAGTGTTTAATTTACAAGTTTCTAGGGAAAGAAGAAGTCTTCCTTGCTAACAGGTAGCTTGTTTTATTTCAGCAAAATGCATTTTTTGTTCAAACTTCACAGATTGTTCATGGGCGGTTTGGTTGTTGGAAGTGCACTCTCAGCATTTTTCTGGTTGGTTCTTCATACTGTAGGTTGTCTTCGTTTTTTGGCTGGTAGTTCAGGACAGATAATCAGTTAGTTTTGTTAAGAGAACAGAAGGGTGGAAGAAGACACTTTTCTACAGACAGCAGCTGTGTTGGCACTATGTTGTCTGGTTAATTCTGGTGCAAAAATCAATGCTGGTAATTTTTCACTTGGAGCCATCTCTTTCCTTCCTTTCGGTCTTCTCTGTTGACCACTCTTCTTTCCTGTTCTCCAGTGAGCAATGGCCTGAATGCTTAATTTATAAAAGTCTTTTTACATTACTAAAGTAAAATAAGATGCTCATAATGTAACCAATGCACAAATACCTTAAGCTGTAGTGAGACTATTTGTTTCCATTTTGAAAGCCAGTAATGCCAGTCAGCCTCAAAATGTGACTCTTGCTATACAGTGGCAGGTTTCTTTCAATGTTCTGTCCATTTCTGACCTGTGCTGTTTATATCCAAGTTGTTCTTCAGTGTCTGATGTCTGGAAATGAAGTTCAAAACACTTTTGATGAAAATATCTTTGTCTGTGGGTGCACCCGCATCTTTAACACTGTGGTAACAGTACTCTGTATACAGAGCCTTCTTGATGCCACCTGAATGAAATACATGTGCTTGGTTGTCTGTTTTACACATCAACTTGGACTGTGGCTAGTGAAAACTGAAGGTCCAGTTCAGTGTTTCGTAGCCGGGTTTAGGAAATTTCCTCATAGTGAGTCAGAAGAAATTTACTGGAAGAGCTGCAACATTTTTGAATGAGAAACATTATGGCAGAGAAAGGACAAGACTGTAAGTGAACATCCCTGAGATTTCACAGTCTACTTGCTTCAGTGAAAGATGTATTTCTTCCTTCAGGCCAAGGAAGGCATCGGGTGTCTGGAGGAAAAAGCTGGATTAATTTGTGTGGAGTTTTGGGCATCCACCTGAGTCTGAAGTCATGTAACTCTGCGAATCAAATTTCTAAGATTTTGTGAACAAACAAGTGACTCCACAGAGTGTCATGAAAACCCTGAGCTGTATTCTCCACCCTGCCCAAGCCTTGATTCAAGCCAGGACAGTGATGAGATATATCAGACTTGACCTGGTACTGCTCTGTGGGAATCCAAATGCCTGAAATGAGCTGTGAACATTGTTTCTGATGAAAGGTGAATCTAGCAAAAGTAATAAAAATTGGAAGAGTTCTGGGCAAATCAGAATTGGTTGGGAGTTCATGTCAGGTTTCTGAGGTTAGCTTTATCTAAATTGAAACAAAAGGAAATGCTTTTTAAAATTGAAATGCTTTTTTTTGACACTTTCTAAATAAGAAATTACTGAGCTGCATCTTTGCAATATTTTATAGAAATAAAACATTCAGATCTTTTTTGGATATTTTGATTCAAGTTGACCTACATTAAAAAGAAAAAAAAATAAAAACAAAAATTAGATTAAGAATTTGTGTTCTTGTTTTAGGCCAAATTAAAATAAAACAGCCTTGAACATTTTCTATATCACTTCACTCTGACAAGGGTTTTTTCTTCTGCTTCAGCAAAACTAGAAAATTCATTGTTAGTGCAGATCTTATATCCAGATAGCTCCTCTGCGACCACACTGTTGGCAATTTCTAAGATTTTGTGAACAAACAAGTGACTCCACAGAGTGTCATGAAAACCCTGAGCTGTATTCTCCACCCTGCCCAAGCCTTGATTCAAGCCAGGACAGTGATGAGATATATCAGACTTGACCTGGTACTGCTCTGTGGGAATCCAAATGCCTGAAATGAGCTGTGAACATTGTTTCTGATGAAAGGTGAATCTAGCAAAAGTAATAAAAATTGGAAGAGTTCTGGGCAAATCAGAATTGGTTGGGAGTTCATGTCAGGTTTCTGAGGTTAGCTTTATCTAAATTGAAACAAAAGGAAATGCTTTTTAAAATTGAAATGCTTTTTTCTGAGCTGCATCTTTGCAATATTTTATAGAAATAAAACATTCAGATCTTTTTTGGATATTTTGATTCAAGTTGACCTACATTAAAAAGAAAAAAAAATAAAAACAAAAATTAGATTAAGAATTTGTGTTCTTGTTTTAGGCCAAATTAAAATAAAACAGCCTTGAACATTTTCTATATCACTTCACTCTGACAAGGGTTTTTTCTTCTGCTTCAGCAAAACTAGAAAATTCATTGTTAGTGCAGATCTTATATCCAGATAGCTCCTCTGCGACCACACTGTTGGCATAGGTGTTCGACCAGAGTGGGATGGGGGTGGCAGAACTTCAACCTGCTTCGTCATACCCCCGCCTTTCCCTTTCCTGCCAAACCTGCAGTCCCAGGCCTTCCCATCCACCCTGTTCCCAATTCAGAATGAAACAAGAAAGTTTAAAAGATGTAGGAAAATTCTCTGGTGATTATTGTAGGCCCTCTGTGCTCTTCTCTACATACATATACATAGGTAGGCATATATATGCATATCATATATATGCATATAATGCAGCAAACTAGATAATTAAAACCCATATGTTTAAAAATCCAAACAAGCAAAATACTTTGATCGATCATTAAAATAATTGAAACATGGAGACCTAACTGACTTTTTAACTTTTCACTCCTTCCACATTCTATTTTATTAAAGCAAACATTTAAAAAACCCTATATTTGCACTACATTCATATAGTGACACTTGATTTATATTTTGAGCT